CGATGTTTTGAAGGGCACGGTCTGTCTGTAATGGGGGGGGGTGACCATATATATATATATGTAAAGGTATGTATGTATGTATGCATACATGTATATGCAGACACACGGTCGTGCGCGGTTCTTTCTGGACCGCCGCCGTCCCCAATGTTATTCCCCCCAAATACAAGGGCCTGAAGCGTTAAGGGCATGTGCGGAGGGGGGGAAGCGGGACTAAACTCCGAAGCTCAAGGCCCAAGCCGTTCCACACAGAGGGAGGGTGGATGATCACACGCGGAACGGCTGGGGGAAGGCCAAAGCTCTAGACCACACAACCATTTCACAGGGAAGCTCAAGGACCAAGCCGTTCCAAAGGGGGGGGAGGGGGATGACCAAATGGGGGGGGATACCATTGGGGGGCCGATGGGGGCGTAACCATACATATATATATATACATATTTCCACACACACACATGCAAATGTGCAAACGCGTGTATATTTCCTCATACAGCCTCGCATACGAGTGTAGCGCGATGCCTTTCTACCTACATGTACACGTACGTGTACAAGTAGAAGCAGATGTTTAAGCTACACTATCCGATACTGTACTGTACTATACTATACTATGCTATACTATACTATAGTGTATTTTGCTGTGCACTACTACATGTTCATAGGTTGCCTTCTAACTGCTACATCATAATATATCATGCAGCATTTTCTTATGGTGCATCATACTATGGCATGCCACATCATCTCTGAGTGCATCCTACTGTACCATATCATACTGCAGTGTAATATCGTGTGATACTTTGTTATGCCATAATCTCACCTTCTGTTAATGGTGTGCCTGCTTGTAAACGAATATTATGAAATATTACTTTTCGATCTACTAAGCATTGTACTACCATTCAATGCTCGTACAGCATATCATATCATATTAGAGTAGCTGTGTGCCATATGATAATTACGTTGCAGCGCATCATGTTACATTTCGCTACAGTGCTCTATGCCATGTTATGTGGTGAGACTTATATATGTTGTGTTGTATCCCATTTCTTTATCTTATACTATATTGTACTATGTTTTGTGGCATCATGTCTTAATTCCATTATTTGTACTTCATCACAGCGTACACTGTAGCATTATTGTATCCCATCACATCATATTTTGTCTAGGCATGTGATGTTTGTGTCTACTCTTTTCGAACATGTTATGTCGCAATACGCCGTATCATGTCACATTATACTATGCTGCATATTGTAGAGGAGCCTCCCGAGGCCTGGGCTACCTGGGGTCAGGGGCTTCCACTGCATCATATGTTTCTTTCAAGTTGTGTGGCGAGCTCTTGTCTTGCGGTAGTGTGCTATGTTTTCTACATCTTCTCAGATTGTACTCCGTTTTTTCGAACAATCGACCAGGGCATGCCGCCCTATGTCCTAGAGGACGTTTGCAAGACTTGGCTTTCTCGAGTATGTGACGAACATGCAACCTTCCTATACATCCAGTTGTGAAAGGACTCACGAGGGTTTGCCTTGAGTTGCGTGGTGCCGAACAGATTGGTCGGCGGCATCATTGGCAGGCCTGGCGATCGGTCAACACACTACCACAGCTGTGTGACAGTTGAGCATGTAACCCTTCCAATGCGATGGATGACAGGGGTGGCAGTGGGACGAAGGAGCTGGGATATCGTGCCGAAACTCTGTATGTCATGTGTTCGAAAGGGTACAGGATTGGATTCTATAGGTGGTACATGCGAGCAGAACAGAATGCAATTCTCCGCAGACTTGAGCCGCAGCGCAAGGACGTTGTCCTTTCCAAATTTAAAACACGCGAAGTGTTTGGGCTCGTTCGCTTGAGCTTCGAGTTGCACCTGAACTAAGCGAGTCCTTCTTGTTCCTGACACTTTTTAGGGCTTTACACTCCGTGTATATTTTTCGGATCAGTCAAGTGCTTCCAAACGGCAGCTTCAGAGAGGTGGGGCGAGAGGGGTGATACTATCATGCTTGAATGTTAACTATGTGTAGTACATGCATGCAAGCATCGCCGGCTTGTGTGCGATGTTGAGATCGTGAGTGCCATGGAGCTCGAAGTCACCATCGTCAGCGCCAAAGGTTTGCGCAACGCGGATACTGGCTGGTTCGATGGCAAGTCTGACCCGTACTGCATTTGTGGCTTGTTCTTATTTCAGCTGCTGGGTATCGCCCCTGCCTTGTGCTGTGAAGTCTGCAACTGCTGGAAGCTCAAGGTAAAATCGCTGGACTTCCATCGCACACAGACAGGCCTGGCTATTTGTGTGCATTGGGGACCCGTGAGAGATGATTCTGGTCAGGAAAGCAGCTTAGTGTTGGGATGTTGACAGGACTCGTTTCCAGACGAGGGTCGTGAAGGACTGTCTCGACCCAAAATGGCAAGAGACCTCCACCATTCGACTGGAGCCTTGCCTTGGCAATGGGGTGTTGGAATCACGCAGAGTACGTGGCAGCACAGCTGCTGCCTTCCCGCTGTCCAAGGCATCGCAAATGCAGTACCTGGAGTTTGAGATTTGGGATCAGGATGTCGGATCTTCGGAATTTCTCGGCAAGGCCGTTCTGAATCCAAGAAGGTGCCCGGGCTGCGCAGCTGAGTGGTGATGGCAGTTACCTTTGACTTTCTGCAGCCTCTGCCCTGAAGAACCCACTCTGTCCTTTCTGTCCCTCAGTGTGAATTCCTGGGAGGGTTCCGTTGGAGAAGGGCTACGAGGGTGACCTGAAGCTCACTGGAGCTAAAGCAACAGGCCGGCAGAGAGACAAGTTCTCTACGCTGGTGCAAGAAAGGAAAACACGACTGCGATCTCTTGCACAAGCCAGGAAGTCTTCGTGTGAGAGTCGTGGTGCAGAAAGCTGGCTCTTACGACGTCTCCGTGTCGGAGTTCTGCTGCTGTTGCAGGTGGCAAAGTCATAGTCATCAAGACTCGTGCAAATCCTAGTTTGCTCTTCGACCAGGACATAGTGCGGCGCTCCTCGCAAGGCCGAGGGCAGGCTTAGGTTTCGTTTCTGCCGAGACCATTCTGCTTGCAGAAACAAGTCGGATAAGTCGGCCTGCATGCTGCCAGCTCCTGAGCCAGATCATGCGATTCCTGCAGGAGGTGCAGCAACTGACTAACACAAAAATCGGGATCCGTGATATCCCCGGAGACACCGAGAATCGATCTCTGAATATTGCAGGCACCTGGAACTGCTCTCTTGAGTCGGGATGGTTTCTGTCCTGCTTTTCTCTTTGCAGGCCCCTTGCCGAACGCATGTGCTGCGTACATGCTGATGATGAAGAGGCCGGGGCCTGGCCGGGGCCTGGCCGGTCGCTCGGGCCAACGAAGAAGAGGGGCCAAATGTCGCAGGTACTTGGACTCCGAGGCGCAGGCGCGATACCGTCCAGCACGTCAGAGGCGACGCAGCCGCTTGCCGTGCACATGCGGTAATGCCAGGCTCCTGGAGGCTACACCAGCTGAGGATCCCTGCTGCTCACAACCGCTTCAGTCACCTGGCTCCGGGATGAAACTCTGCAACTCACGGCCAGGCTCACAAAGAGCAGAAAGCTATCTGATCGCGATATAGACGCTCATGACACGACCCGTGCCTCGCTCGGTGCGTGGCCGAGCCAAAACATGCAGATCTTCTGGAGACTCTTGGCGATTTCTCTTGTGCACGCCGAAAACCGCAGCGATTTCCAGAGCCAAGATGTAGTTTATCGGCACTTCTCTGCAGACTGGTTTTCACGAGCTTTGTAGGTGCGGTCACTAGCTCACTTGCTCTAACAAGCTGTTGTCTAGTTGCCTAGGTCTTTTGCCATCGCAAGCCGCTGGCGACGGAAGTCCTTGCGGCACCGTGGTTTCGCTTTGGCGCAATGCTGTGCCATGGAGCTTCCACATTTCCTGGATTCTGTTTGGGAGGGCGGCCAGCCTTCCGTGATCGAGCGCATCGCGCATCCAGCTCACGGACCCAGGGCGCGTGGCAAGCGTTCAGGGCCCCTGGACTGGAGAAGTTCCTCGTGCCGGCTATCTTCCTCGGATCTTTTACTCGGCAAAGGACGAGAATCCAAGCAAAGAGTTCCGGACCTGCGGCTCACTACATTAACAAAAACCTTAGAGTCACGAATGTTGGGCCCAAGGGACTGGGTGTGGTGGCTACTGCACCTCTTGCGAGAGGGGAGCTGTTGCTAGAGGAGGCTCCCCTGCTGGTGTTTCAGCACCAGTCTTTTGAAGTCATCTTCGGTGATCTCCAGGATGTGCTGTTCGACGACCGAACCTTTGATCTGTGGGAAACCAGCCTGAAAGAAACGGTAAACTCTCAATGTGGTTCTGAGAATACTGCGAAGTTCTGGGAGCTTGCGGACACTTGCAGTGCGCCGGGTGTCAAGACAGCCCTTGGAATTGCCCGTACCAACGCACTGGGCCTTGATGAAGATTCTGCTGGACTGTTTCTCTTCCTATCGAGGTTCAATCATAGCTGCGAGCCGAACGTCCATCACAGCTGGCAAGAGGATCGCGGAATGAAGGTCCTGAGGGCTTCTTGCAGCATCGCCGCAAACGAGGAACTTTGCATTTCGTACCTGTCCCTGCTGGCGCTCTGTGCACCCACCCGTGAACGTCTCGGCGAAATAAGTGATCGATTCGGTTTCGATTGTGCATGTCGTGCATGCTCTGCAGGTGCCAGACGGATGCGCGACAGCGACTGGCGCAGAGAGCGCTTGTCCCAGCTGTGTGCGGCCCTCTCCAAAGAGGAACATAGGGACCATGGCGTGGGTCGGGCTGATGAAATTCGTTTGCATCTGCGTAAACGAATCCCTTTGTTCTTCGAAGTTGATGAGGAGGGTCGGCAAGAGTTAGAGTCCAGTCTTCAAGGTCAAAGAGGCCTGGAGAACGAGTCCTTTGCAGGGGTCGTGGAGAGCATCGATATGAGTACTGGCCTTCGAGAGGCAGTGGCCTTGTTGGATGAGGAGTTGCATGGACATCCCGCAGCCCGTGCTCTTTTGTTCTTCGGGGCCTTCCGGAGAGCAGAGGCCGCGCGTCGGCTTTCGGCTGCAAAATCCTTGGCCAAAGCCGCTTGGAATGCGACGTCCACCGCCGAGGGATCCACCTCTTGGAGGGCCCAATGGCTGCAAGTCGAGAGTGAACGACTGGAGCATCTGGAACAGAAGCTGGAACAGAGGAAGGAGGAGAACCAGCAGGGAGCGGCAAACGACCAGGCAAAAACCTTGGAGATTGGATGCGTTTGGCCTTTGAATGCCTTTTGATCTCTTTTGCCAGCTCTTTTGTTTTGCAGTCCGCCCGCCTGGCCACGCAGCGTTTTAGGCCGAAGCATTCTGAGGCTTCTGACCTCAAAGCGAGAGCTTTCCCCCCCAACGGTCCGAACAGAGCAGCCCTTGAAGTGATTGGGAGTTGCGATTTGGACACGTCAACGCGAGTTTCTGCCGCAGCCGTGCTGTCAGAATGGAGCACTCGTCAGATCCAGCCTGGGGCCCAGCTCGAGAACTTTGTGTGGCAGGGTCGAGCTCCGAAGAAAACCGCAGCCGAGGCCATGGTCAGGTCCCAGCCTTAGCGGCCCTAGCTCGTGGCACTGGCACCTTGTCGGCCTTCCTGTCGCGAAGTGTGGAGCAGGGTGGGCGTCAACTTGGGCTCAGCGCAGGCGACAAGGGCCGCTTGGTTTTCTGAGGCCCCTCCCCCCTCCCCCCCCATCTGCTAGATTCTGCCAGGGCATCCCAGCTACAAAGCTGCTGACAACGCTCCACGAGGTTTGGGGATGCGTAACTCAGTGTGCCGTACGTCCAGAGCCGGTGCGCTCCGGACTGCGTCGGCCAGGTGCTTGCGAGATCTCTCAACCTGATGAGGCACTGCAAACTCCACTGCGACCTCGTTGCCTCACTGCTTTCATGGATACGTGGAAGGCTCGCGCTGGTGGCAGCGCCAGCTCTGGTCCAGTGCGGAGCCCTCATCGCAATGCCGGTAGCGGTTCCCTGAAGGATGGTCGCCCTTTTAGCAAGTCAGAAGGTGCTTTTACTGTAGGTTCTTCGACTTCTCTCTTTTCGTTCTTCGACCAGGCGCACGGTGTAGGCCGCGCGTCCCGCTGCTCGCGAGGCTTTTTCATTCACAGCGTGGACTTTGTAAGCTGGCCCGGGGCCGAAGCTTGCTTACAGCCTTTTCTCAGAGAGACTCGTCTCCTCGTCTCCGCACAGCAGCCCCAGCCCGAGGTTGTCGAAGCTGGTGCTTGTCTATGCTTTGATGGGTGCCGTTTGGTGCCCGCATCAGCTGGGCTGTTGACCGGGTTTAGCCTGTACCGTTGCCTATTCAGCCCTGGCCAGTTTCATCGTCATGCCGGATCAGCTCTACAACGGGCCTCCATGGCATGTTTTTTCGTTTGGCTGCCCTGGCCAGCTCTCCCTGAAGCAGAGATTCCGGAGCCAGGATGGGCATGGGCATGTTTCGGTGGGCCTTTGAAATTTTCTACCCGGAGGTGCGTCGCATTTTGCAGATGTTGGTCTCTTCAAGGGGCCGCGCGCCGCATGTCATGTCGTGTGTGACATCCCCCACGATGCAAGTTCAGAAGCCCGCTGTGTAGAGAGGATGCAAGCGTGGACAGGCTACGAAACGGGCCAGTGACAGGGGCAACGGCAAAGCCTCATGAGCAGCTGCACAAGTAACAAATGAAAGGAAGGCACCTGCTTCTGCACCTTCTCCTCTTCGGACCATGTCAGACCTTCGAGCACCTAACACAAGAAGGGCGCGAGCTGTGACATGGGACACCGTTCAACTTTCCTCCGCCAGCTTGTCTTGGGTCGTTCAGTTGAGTGTGGGCTTGCTGTCTCGAAAGTCGGAAAGGCGGACGTTGTGCAAAGCACTGAGTCTCTGAAAGTGTCCGGAAGAGCAGCTTCGGGCTAAAGCCAGACGAACGGGAGTTTCAATAGTCCGCGCTGGGGGAAGAGCGGCCTTCGCCCGTCAGATTGCCCGATCCAACGGCAGCCTGCACGATCCCGCCGAGACGACCGTCGCTTCCATCGCGGGCAAGAGGCGCCAGGGATGACCAGGGCTGGGGCTCTGAAGCACCGCTTGTTGGCGGCGTTTTGACCTCGGACTCCGAGGATTGGTCAACTGGAAGGAATGCGGGCGAAGCTGAGGCGCGAGTTCACGAGATCTGCGGGTGTTCGCAATATGCCGCCCTAGGCCCTAAAGGCCTAGGCGTTGTGGCCCTCCCCCTCGACAGGTGGCAGGGCTCGAACAGGTACCTTTGCTTGACCCACGACGCCAGAACCTCAGGGAGCTTTGCGGAGAGCCCTCTTTTTAGGGGACTGCATCCGGAGTAGTTGTAGCTGACGAGCTCACTTGCTGCTGACCAGCTGGTGACCCTGATTCTCAGCAGGGCTGGACCGTCACCGGCGATGAGAAGCACTCATGCTCAGTCGAGTTCCACAGCGCACCATCCTTGGCAGCGCTTCGCATGGGAATGTCCACAAATCTTTCCAGTTGACAGGTGTACTGGAAAGATAGGCTGGTTCCTGACACGTGCCTTGCCTGAGCCAGAGCAATGAGCAGATACGAGCAGATGTGCAGACACGACACGAGTTGTTGAGGTACACTCTCCGGATACTTGCTCCCACATCTGATTTCCACGAGTGTTGGCTTTCCTTCAAGGTGAGGGGCTAGGACGAAACATGGAAGCATCACCGAAGTGTGCTCGGCTGCGCAGCCCGTGAACCATCTTCGCTTCGGTGGTTGGCTGGCTGCCTACCCAAGCGAGCAGAAGGCTTGTCCCTACAAGGCTGCGATCTTGCGCGGTGCTTTCAATCACGAGAAGAAGCGCCGGAAAACGCAACATGCAGGTTGTCCGCGACAGCTCCTGTCCGGCTGATGCTTGTAAGCTACTGTGCGCTTTGAGCTTAGCATGTGCCGACGCAATGAATATAGGTCCGGAGGATGCTAGCTATTGCCAGCCTTTCTTCGTGCAGGCTTGGACCAACATGCTGCCTCCCTCGCAGAGGTCTTGCACAGGCCCGGCCGCCTGTCCACTGAAGTAGTGACCGAGTGTGTTGAATTCATGCAATCTTGCCGCAAGCCTTCGTACGTACCGGCATGCCGATTGAGCAACGCTCGAAGATGCCTGATATCCAGATGTAAGTCCGAGCCAGCTTTGGCCTGGCAATCGTGGTTTGTGAGAGGACATAGGAAGGGAGATTCCCTTGCCTCCGGGCTCCAGTCATCTTCGCTAGCTTCCTAGTGATGTGTTGCAGAGAGCAGGACCATAGCCAGTGCAGCAGATGCAACAGGCTTCTATGTCGGAGAGCAGCGCTGCAGAGATCATGTGCACTAAGCTTAGCCGCGCAGTACAATCTCCAGCATACTTGCGGTTTATGTCTTGACGCCGCTGCAAGCTTCAACAAAGCTCCTCACGGCACATAAAATTCCGTTCGCAAAGGTACATTGGACACGCAGCAGATCGAGATGCCGCTGCACTCAACCTTGTTTGGGCCTCGGCACGTGGAGTTCTTCGCATGGGACTATCGCCGCTTTTTGTTAAGGAGTTTGAGTGATCAAGCGCAGCGACTCAGTCTGGAAGCTTGCGCTCAAAAGAGCGTGACGCCACTTTGCTTGGGTGGTGCTGTGTGTCGAAGCTCTGCGCAGTCGCAGGCATGTCTCGAATGTGCAGCAGTGTTTGGCTTGGGAATGGTTCTGCTCCTCCAATGAAGCTCTGCTGTTGGCAACTGTTCTTGGCCGCGGCCGTGGCAACCTCGGCTGACGTGAATGCTAGTCCATCTTGCATTGTCTGGAGATGGCCGAGGTCGCAGGCGCAGTGACGTCAGAAACCAGATCCAGCCCGCTTGCAGCAGGCTCAGGATCGGATTGATCGGATTTGCCCATGTCACAGTGTTCAGTATCCAGCCCGCAGAGCATGAGGCTCGTTGCATCACAATGACGAACAGTCGTCTTTCTAGTGCACCGAAATCGGTTTAGGGCGAGTTTGTGGTTTAGGGCGAAAGGAATCCCGTCACTTACGCGCTCAGCGTCCCCGCCCCCTCCCGGGCGATCTCTCAGTGAGCCATGGCGCGGAAGGCACCTCGGACGGGACCCGCTCGAGCTCCGAGCTCCGAGCGCCGAGCCGCTGAGCCCTGCAGGTCGGCTTTGGATCCAAGAAGCCACGCTCCACCGCAAAGCGGGAAGCGCAGAAGGCCCCAACCGCAACCTGGCTGCACCCTGATACGGGTCGCACGCGTCGCAGAAGAAATTCTCACAACGTGCTAGCAAGGTTCGAATGCTGCACGGGCCCCTTTCTGCGCCTGGCGGACAGCTGCGGGAAGTTGCTTCCGCGGGGGTCCCAGGCCCAAAGCCAAGAGAGACTACATCATCGATGACCGGCCCTCACAGCGAAGCAAACGCCCCTCCCTCAAAAGGCTTTGGGAAGGTCATGAAGGTCCTTTCAAGCGGAGCCCGGAGCTGCCCAGGCCGGAAGGTCCGCCCCAGCTCTCTGGCGAAGGCGAGCAAAGGGGCCCCCGGACTCCAGACGTGGCTAGAGCTCTCGAATTTCTGTAAGGGGAAGTACGAAGCCATTCAAGGCACACGGGTTCAGCCAGCTGCAGGCTGGGGCTATCTGGGGCTGTTGCGATGCAGCGCCTTGTTTGCAACGGCACTCGGGGGTTTCGCCAGGCGGGAAGCACGTGCGAGTTGTCATCCAGGCAGCAGAGTAGGTCCTGAAGCCATGTCCGTGGGTCACCAGCACTTTGGAGGATGGCAGGACTTTTGACCCGAAAAATGTCCGGGCAGCGAGGCTCTGCGCTTCGTGTGAGATGAAGGAACCCCTGGAAATCCTGGTGGCTGAGGCGGCATTTAAAGCAGCTGGCCAGCCGGCCGAGTTGCCCTTGCTGGAGGCAGTTAGTTGCCTTTGCTGGTTCTCCAACTCTTCCTGCCAGGCATCGGAAGCGGAGGAGCTTGCCCGCATCCACGGCACCAAGGAATTACGAGGGCTGCTAGGGGCAGAATTGCATGGTGAAAGGCTTCCGCGAATGACCGTGCCTGCAGGACAAGGAATTGCTGGCCAAGTCAGCAGCCGAAATATCAGCCAAAGCAGCTGACTACAAGGGCAGGCTTGGACCTGGTTAGAAAGAAGCCCTGCAAGCCTTGGCCGTATCTCCGGAGGTTGGCTGTCAAGGCAAAGCAGAAGCTCATCAACAAGAAGCGCAAACGCAAGGCTGCGAGCTTCTGGAGATGGTCGTACTCGTCAGTGCGTTTGCCAGCCGCAGTGCGTTTACAAAAAAGTCCTTTCTCAGATGATCGGCCCGAGTGAGTGACAATCTAGCTCTCGCGGTTATTCCGACAGTCTGTCACCTGCGGACACGTTCTCGCACCGAAGTTGTTGCAACACCCCACAAAGAGACACAGCCTTGTGAACATAAAGTCGTTCAGTGCAGTCTAAGGCAACTAGGCTATAATCGGACCGAGCCCGGGCGCCAAGTGCCTTAGGCTTCATGGTACCTTCCGGAGCGATGAATACCAGACGATTCGGCAATCCCTACGGGGTGCTGGAGTCTCCACAAGCGTCCCCGTGCCTTTCCTATGCCAGCTCCCCACTGGCTTCGCCACTGCAGGGATTTGCCCTCAGTCCGGTGCATGTTGCCGAATTACCACCTGCATCACCAAGCATTCAGAGCCTTCCGCACTGCAGCAACCTGGCCAATCCAAGCACAGGAGCCATTCACCCAGGCGGAAGCGTCTTCGACCTGATACCCTTGCAAGTGTCCCATGTTGCCCGTCCAGACCTTCCGAGTGCACAGCCGGAGGGTCCATTGGCTAGGCAAACCTCCGGCCGCTCTGGGCCGTCCTGCGGCTCTCCACAATTTGTGGCAGCCCAGCCGCGGCCGGTGCCGCCACCACTGACACTGGGCTACGCCATGGGGCCCACGCTCTCTTCCCCAACGGCACCTGGCTCTCCATCCTGGACCACGGTGACGACTCGCCGCAAGCAGACGCTGGAACCCAAGCCAGTTGTGGCCAAGCCAGTACCCGCGCCGCAACTTCAGAGGATGAACACCACGGGGGATGCAGCAGATCTCTACTATGCCCAGAAGGAGGCCTTTGTAAGGGGCTGGACGCACGATGCCAAGCACACCCGAAGCGTCAAGCAGAAGAAGCGTGTGGATTATCAGGTAGAGAAGAGGCGACAACAAAGTGAACGCGACAGAGCAGCCATGGCGGCTGACTACGGCGACTCAGACCACGACTGAGCCTTGCTGAAGCGCATGGCTGTGCTTGCGGCGAAGACAAGCTCGCCTGTTCCACGGTTGAAGTCTTTCTAATTCAGCTGTCTCGTTGAAGTGCCAGAAAATCGGTTCTAGCACCTTTGACATCGTGGCTTTGCAAGTCAGGGATGTCCGGCTTGGTGCAGGCTGTAACAAAGCAGCTAGCTCAGTTCATGCTTGTTACTTGTTTCTGTACCACCACCAGAACAGTCGAGCATCCTGCAGCATGGTGCTAGAAGCTCACGCTGCTCCAGTGTATCTGCTTTGTCAGAAGGGTAAGACTTCGACCTCCTCTGCATTTCTGGCGCAAATGCGCATTGCTGTGAGTGTGTTGCGAAAAAGACGCTGTGTGCCGCCGTGGTCAAAGCTTCATTGCCTTTCCAGCCGTGTTCAGTTCCAGATGGCAGGTGGCGTCCCCGCGCCCACCAGAAAACACAGTTGGTACTGATGCATAGAGCGCGTGTGCAAAAGATCGCTGACCGATTTCTGCGGCAACTCTGCACGTACTCACTGCTGTCTGAGAGTGTCCAAAAGACTCCAAGGCCACGGGGCCGGCGCCGGCTCCAGCTGCGGCGCCGTCACCGGCACCGGCGCCCCTGACGGTGACTCCGCGGTCTCGAGTTTGGATGTTGGCGGATGTTGGCAGCGGCAGCTGGAGCCGAGGCCGCCGACGTGGCACCGGAGCTCGAGAAGTCGCTGTTGCGGGCCAAGAAGCATGCGGCTTACCGGGGCAATTTTACGCGCTTCCCCCACGGACTTCCTACTCGTAATGGAAACTGCCATGGGCCTTTTGGAACTCTTGAGGTATGCAGATGCTTCAGAAGGATGGGCAGTTGCTGCCCAGGAAGCTGCCAAGGTTCCACCCTTGAAGCGGTCTTCAGGGCTTGACACCTTTCAAAACTGCATCGAGGCCTTCAAGCCAAAGGAGAAGAAGCTGAAATGATCGAGCCTGTCTCAGAGCTGCCACCTACGACGCGGCGTAGCAATTGGCTCAGAAGGGCCAGCTGATGCACTCGTAAGTCGGTTAGCTTCGCCTTCATTCTCATGAACTCTGCTCTGAACTCGGTTCTGACACCAACGCAGATTGCCGTCTCACCTGTGGCATGATCGAAATAGCAATGCCGCATCAAAAGCTGAAGCCTTCAAGGCCAAAGGTTTGGCTTGCATTTGATCGACTGCCATCCTTTGCTGTTGGAGGTTGCGCTATGGTTTGGTTTCGTTTAGGGTTGGAGAGATTTAGTGCGGAGGTGAAAGTAGGAATTGAGAACGCGGTGTCTTACCAACCGGACAGCATGTTCGCAGGCTAGAAGAGACTTCGCTTGCGCAACCCCTCTTGTTCGGGACACATGCGGCAAGGCTTTTGAGTTTCTTGGGAACATGTTGAAACCAGCGCTTAGATTGAGTTGGGGAATGGTGGTGGGGCAATGCCGGGCAAACACAGTGTTTGCAACTCAAGGCAGACAGCGACAGATCTGCAGTTCACAGGTGTTCCGTGCTGCCATGCTCGTGAATGTGCAGATGTGCAACCAGTTTCGTGCGTACCTTCGTGCTTGAAGCTGTTATGCTGTAATGAAATTGCTATCAAAAGCCCACACTCGCTTGCATGTGTCGTGTTGCTTCTAGGACTCTAGGCAGCTGTTCCTTTGGAAATATGGGCGCTGGCGTGAATCGCTTGCACCTCGAGGCACAGAGTCGGAGATCAGATGGAAGTAACAAGTCGGTCCACTGTTATCTCTTAGTTTACGGAATCTTACGCTTCTATTACATGGTCCATGTTGTAGGGTTTGGTGACTCTGCACTTGCCCTTGCAGGAAGTGCAGGCGCAATTCGGTTTGCCCGCGAGCCGATCGTCAGGATCCAAGGCCACGGTAAACGTGTGGAATCTTTGCCAAGAGCATTGGGGCGCTGCTACCGTGTTTGACGCAGTCAGGCTGCGAGCTTTGCAAGTTCATCCCAGAAGAACACCCCGACCCCGACAGCAGCTGGCCTCGGTGTGGGCTTCGTGGGGTTGTCGCGATGCACACGTTCGTCCGTCAAGGCTGTGAATCCGAGTCCCTCAAACGATCCTGGAACTGGGCAAAGCGCACCAGGTTCGATGTTCTTGAATTGTGTGTTTCATACGTGGCCGAAACTTGAAACTGTGCCCAGGCGTGTTTGGCGACAGCAGGAACGAGCGCTGGCTAAACGAGGCACAGAATGCTCGTACGCACGGGCAAAAGTAAATTTGGGACGTTCACGGCAGTCCAAAGGGCCCTGAATTCGGACACCCTTTTTTGAGTTGTTTCCCCGCCGCTCCGGAAGGTGAAGTCTGCAGGTCGGATAAAGCGAACGGTGGATGCCTCGAACACCTCGGCCGGCGCATTCCCTGACTTGGGTTTTGGACGTCGCCAAGGTCACTTTCCCGGTTGGTGACTGGTTCCTGGGTGTTGGAGATGGCGGCATCGGCAGGGACAAGGTCTGATTGTATAGCTTATCTGACTCTATGCTTGCAGAGTGTGACGAGGACAATCCTGCAGGTGGCGCACTGATCAAGAAAGGCTGGGTTGTCTCCAAGACTTGTCTGGAACTCTGCCATCGCCACACTGGGTCAGGTTCGTTGTCGGACTTTGACGAGAATGACCGTCCTCCCCAGGCCACAAACCGAGATTCGCAATTTGGCAAGCAACATCCTGACATCCACTTGTCACCCTCTCCTGCCCAGTGGGAGACCATGACCTCCGCCACGCAAGACCAGGCCCTGCCCCCTCGCCTTGCTGTGGATTGGCTTCCTCGAAAGATCGCATCGTCAGGATGAAGCTGCATTCCTTGGAGAAGGCCAGCGGATGTACTGCGTGGAGCTGCGTAGTGACGTAGTGGGGTAACCCCGCCAAACACCACGGAAGTTGACTTTGGACAGCTCACTTCCTGCCTTTCAGTTGCAGGTGCCTCCCAGACAAAGGCCTGCAGCAACCATCGCTCTGTGCTTCTTTTGGGGATCCTGCTGTGAGTTGCTGTGAAGTTTCGGAGGTAGACAGGAAGGACGACAAGAAGGACCGCAAGTCCTTGTGTGGCTGACGGCTGTGGGGTGTGGCTCGATCGGGCTCAGCTGTACCAGCTCTCTTAAGGCAGAGCCAACCGCTCTGGAAAGCGAGAGGAAGAAGAGCAACAGAAGAACACAAGGAAGAGCCAGTCACAGTACAATGGCAACAGTTATGAATAGAATTGTAAGAGGAGGCTGATACAGACAACCGGAAGGCAGTCCGGATAGGGCGCACCACCCCAGCTGCTCGGGGTGCGTACTGTGCCCGAGGCTCCATCGGCCCCAGCTCTCCATGCCCACAGCAGCTGCAACCGGTCAGTGCGGTACGACCGGCAACCATGCTCGCATGTTACTGCCGACAACATGTCGACCACGATCCAGCCGTCCCTTAACCCTGCTATTACGGCCGGTGAGTAACTACATGGCTACATAAGTTCGCAGCACTTTGCTGTGTTTGTAGGGCTTGCCGAGACGCGCAGCAGCTCCGAGGAGGAAGAGCATGACAACGACGAGCCCACGTCGCTACGGACTAGAACTGGAGCTAAAGAGAAGAGGATCAGCAAAGCGGAGATGAGAAGAGCGAGGATTCGAGACAGGAATCCGAAGCCAGGTTAGGCCGAGATTCAGGGGGAGGCCGGCCAGGTTCCCGACAAGGGTGACGAAGATGTGGACACCGGGCGCACGGACAGATGGGGAAGGGTGCGCCACACCGGGGTTCGATGAGCACAATTCCACACCGAACCAATTCGCGAGCAGAGTTAAGCAAGAGGGAGGACGGGTGACCAAATGCAAAGAGCATCACAGAGCATGCTTGAGCGCTTTGCTTGCAAGGCCATGTTGGGGAGCCTCGGCTTGGACCCATCAAGTGACCAGCCCCTTGCCAAGAGCATGATCAAGTCATCAGTAGGCATACTGTGGGCCTTTGACTGACCTTCCTGAGCAGTATTTGACACTTACTTCTGGACTTTCTAGGAATTCTCCGTCCGAAAGCAGTGGTCGCTTCCTTGTTGGGCCATAGCGAAGGTTTAAGCAGTCGCACGAGCCTCCGTCGCTGGCTGAGACCGCTTCTTCTGAGCTCGTCCCATCAGCTTGACTCTGTTTGCCGACCGCTGGCGGCGGTGACCAAGCATAGGCCCGGTGGCTGGACCAACAATGCAAGAGCCGGTGATGGGGCCTCAGCTGGTGGTCTTGTTTGAGTCTTCAGCATCTTTGGGTTGTTTGGATCAACCTTCCAAAGCGTTGAAGACCAAGAGCGTTGACAGGCAAGACATGTTCAAATATCGTCGTGACTCTTGCGGGAATGCAGACTCGTTCGTATTCAAGCTTCCAAAGCCGCAAGGTGCAGCCATTGCCAGAGAGAGGTTATGGAGGAGAACTTCAGCTCCTGGAAGACCACAGGTGAGCTTGATAGCATTTCAGCAAGCCAGGGCAGCACTTCTTTTGCCAGGTCGCAGACTCTGACCTTCAGTGACCTGACAGCTGCTGGGCTTCGTTGGCGTAGTCTTTGTCGTTGCTTTTTGCGCATGCTTTGCAGCAAGTGCAGCTTGTAGGGCTAGTGGCCGAGGATAGTTCACGCTTCACCTGTCAGCAAAATGCAGCTTGGATGCAGTTGGGGGGATCAAAGCTTCAGAGTGCCACTGTAGGATCCGCGCAAAGCAGCCCACATCGGTCTGACATCCAACAGTAGAGCACACACATACACATACAAACAAATATGAATATGTGTATATATATATGTACAGACATGCGCACACATACATATGTACATACATCTGAGCACATGCGTGCATACATACATGTATGCACTTTGTATACACACACATACATACCTACCTACCTACATTCATACATACATGCACTCACAAACACATGCATGTATTTATATGCATGGTATATGTAAATAACAAGTACGCATCTATATGTATACATATACATGTACATGGACTTTTACATGTACATATATGTACAGATGTATGTATGTGTACACACACACACATATATATATATATATACTTATGCAGATGCATGCACACACACACACATATATATATATATATAGACATACATACATATATATATATATGCATGCATGCATGTACAACCGTACATACACATGTGTATATGTATATGTATACGTATCTATCCGTACAGATTAAACAGGTAGGTAGGTAGGGAGGGAGGGAGGGAGGGAGGTAGATAGATAGATAGATAGATAGATAGATAAATGTTGTTCGCACGGACAACTCTCAGACACTCTTTCTCTGTCTCTATATGTATGTCAACATGTGTGTGGGTCCATATAGCTCATATCCCCAAGACGTGCCGCGGGAAACTTTTCAGGTCAATTCTAAACCCAAGCGTATGTGACACCTTAAACAGGTATTTGGAGAAGCTTTCAAATTGATCAGAGACAGAACCTTCGCACCGGCTTGGCAGAGCTCGTTCAAGGCTCAACGCTGGATTTATTGTCTGGAGCTAAACGCATAAGCAGCCTCCTGGTGCTGGATCACACATTCCCAAAATGTCTAAGATGACACAATCCTCGGCTGAAAGCTTCTCGCTAGCAATACACAAAGCTGCAATTTCGGCCCAAACGCCCAATATGAAGTACTCCTCTGCCCCAAAGCCTCTTCTGCATGTGGTCAGATTTCACAACCGGAATGATTTGTTAAACACCCCCAAAATGCCCAGTTCAAACATTCCTCGGCTCCGCTTCTTATATAAAGCATTCCTCTGCCCGCATCTTTTTAAAAATGTGGTAAGCGTCGCACAGCTCCACATAGAATAGGCTTTCTAAAACATGCAACGTAATTACAGGCTTAACCGCTATGCGAATGAATAATAGCATGAATATGAATATGAACATAAGTTTGAGTGCGAGCATGTGCATCAAATACGAACATGAATATCAGTATGTCTCTAAGTATGTATATCGGCATAAAATAGCATAAGTACTTGTAGTTTTGTGTTTGCATAGACGCACACAGTAAGTTGTTGTTCTGTTTGTTGGTTCGTTTGCTTGCTTGCTTGTTTGTTTGTTGCTTTACTGGTTTGCTTGTTCGCTTTTGGTTTGATTTGCTCGTATACTTGTTGGGGTCATTTGTGTTCAAGGCATACCTACGACCAAGAAAAAAACATATTACCCATTAACATAATGCACAGTCGACATGGTTAGGCACATGCATTCATACATACAAATGTACGTACATACATGTATGAGTTTTAACAGAATAGGATCTAACATGATGCAAGCATGCGAGATGCGTGGCTAGATATGGCAATCATTGGACACCTAAATAAGCATGTTTGCATGTACGTAAATGTACGAATACGACATGAAGTTATATAACTTATAGTGATCCACATAGGCAAGCACGAAAGGACATGTAAACGTGCACGCGCAAACAGACAAAACTGGACACACACACACATATGTTCAGGTATATCTATTATCAAAACAAATATAGAACTTGCATATAAATAGAAAGCTAAAATAAAGGTAACTACGATACCTACAAGTTCAAAAAATAGAAGTTAAAACAAACAATCAAAAATGCATACACATGTAGAGATGATTTAAATTTAGATCCCCTGGGCCCTTGGAGTATGCGGGTGCTTGGTGGCCATCAGGTTGGTGGGGCAGCACTAAGACGGGTCTCTCCCCGTCCAGGAGCACCCACCTGCCTGCCACCTCGCGCCTCTCCGTGGGGTGACAGTGCCTTCCCCTCCTCTTCTCCCTTCTCTCGTCTGTCTTCTTTCGCCTCCCCTTCCAACTTAGTCGCACCTCTCCTCTGGACAGTTCTTGTGTCTGGTCCCTGTTTTGTTCGGATCTTTGATGACTGATCACCTCCTCTCCTTTGTCTCCTGGCATGCTGGTTTCCTTGGCCTGTTGGGCCCTGGTAGCTGCTCTCCTGCTCTGGTTGCGCGATCGCTCTCTCCTTCCTTTTGTCCGCCCCTTCTGGAGGCTCCCTCTCCTGTCCCCTTGCCTTCCTGCCTTCCGGCTTTTGCGTCGGCATCTTTTGCTTCCTTGCTTGTCTCTCTTCCGCCCGGCACCGCCCACCTCATCTTCGGCGCTGTGCCTGCTCGTCTGTCTTCCCCGCCCCTCTCTAGCGCCTGTTAAAGGCCGCTGGTCTTCGTGCCATCCTTTTCTTCTTCCCTTGTACCCTGAGGCCACTCGATGGTGCTTGGTGCTCCTTCTTTCGCATTTGACCGGGTGTTGGTCGACCCTGGCTCGCTATTCATAGCCGGCTCACCCTTCTCTGTTCTCCCTCACGCTTTTCTCGTTGGCTGGGCCTTTGGAGTTTCCAGGACTGGGCTTGGCTATTTTTTGTTTGACTCGCCTATTTCCTGGCCCTTTGTCCTTTCCCTTGGCTACGTGGCGGCGGGTTGGGTCGCGACATGTTTTGACCTCTCGTTCCCGTCCCCACCTGCGTGTCTATCAGCCTGAGCACTCGTGCCTTTTTCGGGCCGCGCCCTTGTGCGCGATTGACCCGTCCTGGTGTGTTTCTGCTGTGTTCTCGGCATGGCCTCTGGCCGTTTCACCTTTTCTTTCGCTCCTTCTTCGGGCCGCGTCTTTGCGTGCTATTGGCTTGCAAAGGCCGCATAACTCTTCCCCTTTTTCGGGCGGCGCCTTTACGCACCTTTGGCAAGACGTGCGTTCCTCCTTGTCCTTAGCGTGCCACTTTGCCGTTTCTCTTGCTCCTTATACTGCTCTGTCCTCGGCATGGCCTTCCGCAGTCTCTCCTTCTTCGGGCCACACAGTTGTGCGTTATTGGCCCGTCGTGGTGCGTTTCTGCTGTTTCTCGGCATGACCTTTGGCCGTTTCTCCTTTCTCTGGCTCCTTTGTCCTCTCTGTGCGCTGTTGGACTGTCGTGCTCCTCTTTTGCTTTGTCCTCGCTGCCGCCTTACTTGTATAACTCTTCCCCTTCTTCCGGCCACGCCTTTAAGTGCTGTTGGCCAGCTGCGTTCCTCTCGTGTCCCCAGGTTGGCTTTTGTCTGTTACTCGTATCTCTCGCTGCTTGTTCGGGCCGCGCCTTTGTGCTGCGTTCATCCTTTGTCTTCGGCGTGGCCGTTGGCCGTACCTATCTTCTCCATCGGGCCGCGCCTTTTACCGCTATGGGCCACTATACCGCTGCCTTCCTGCTTTGTCCTCGGCGTGGCCTTCTTCTGATTCTGTGTTCCGCGCCTTTCTGCGGTTTGGCAAGTCATGCTGCGTTCCTCCTTTGTCCTCACTCCTTATACTCGGGCCGCGCCTCAGTGCGCTCTTGGCGTGTCTCGTGCATGCCTTTGTGTATTTTGTATGCTAGATGTATCCTCTTCTCTTCGGTCCGAGCGTCTGTTCTGCGCTTCAGCTTTGCTCCATGCTGTTTCCTGCTCCCTCCTCCCCGTCTCTCCACCCCTGTTGTGCCTGCCCTTATCTCCGTTTGTGCTGTCTTTGTTTGGTTGCTCTTTTCCCCGTTCTCCCCTCTCTCCCCTCTCTCCCCTCTCTCCTTCTCCCCTGTTCCTCTTCCCTCCCTCCCTCTCTCCCCTCTCTTCCCTCTCTCCTCCCCTCGCTCCCTTTTTCTTGTTTCTTCTCTCTCCCCCCTCCCTCTCTCTCTCTCTCTCTCTCTCTCTCTCTCTCTCTCTTTCTCTCTCTTTCTCTCTCTATTTTCTCGCGTACACGAATGACCTGTCTTCATGT